ACTGTTCATTTAGCTATGTAAATGTGAGCAATCTTTTATTAGGTCACCTCTTTTCCTGCTTTCTTACAGTCCTTGTAACATGTACCAAAGAATAAGCATTATTTTGAAAACTTTCAAAATTGTAAATTTTTAATGTATGTAATTTAATACATTTTTAAATGTATTTTTACCAACTGTGTGCTGTGAAAATGTGCCACCACTTTAAACTTAGTTTAAACTTAGCATGTATGAAAATAAAAAGCCATCAATTGCACATACAAATGGTTTGAAAGTGTTTCCTGCTTAAACACCATGTGTGTTTTCTGCATACACTAAAACTGGACAGATTAAACTTAAATATTTTTCTTTCAATAATTAAAAAAAGAGCAAAGATCAATTTAATCTGATTTATGGATCTGATTAAAGAGCTTACAAAAACTGTCAGCTAATTCGAGGAGGTTCACAAAACATTTTCATTACAATATCTAATGACATTGCTCTATTTTCTGCACACTACATGTCAAAAAACTCACAAAAGAAGCCAACTTTTACAAAATGATTTTACTTTGCTACTTTTAGTATCAACTTATGTTTGTTCTGCATTCTGGAACAGGGCATGGATTATTCTGGTATTCTGATTTAGGGCATCATCTCACCCATTTCTGCCAGTGAAGTTTTTAGGGAACTTGACCCATAATATACATCTTGTTAAGCTCCAGTTTAACCAGTTACTGATGTGTTCACCAGTAAGTTTATAAGTTGCTCCCCTCAGAGTTAATTAAACTGCTTGAGTGTCTAAGTTGTGTTGACTAAAGCTGTAATGAGGTCATGTGCCTGGAGAGATGCAAACTGGAACCCCTCGCTATTTCAGTTTACATGACTTCAGATCTCCTAGTGGTACTAACAAACAAATACTAGCCAAAGACCAAGACTCAAAGAAAAATGAGACTCAGGCCAAAATAAGCAGAGAGAAAAGTACATACTATTTTGTAGGATGCTGCATTTTGTTCCCTGTAGAATCCTGCGTTACTCAGCTGAGGTCCCAGTCCTGGTAGCTCTGCTTATTGGGAAAATTCACACATTATTTGACACAAGGAAGAAGGGCTGAATCAGGCCACTTCAGATTAAAGAGCTTATGAACTTTAGCATTTAAACATATGTTCACCAGACAATCTGCTCTCCAAGAAGTTAGGGTTTTTTTCTTTTATCACACTAATTGTCATGTAGCTAAGCCATTGTTGACACATAGGAGAGAGATCAGACTTCTACCATAAGGATTATCCACATAGCTACTACAAGAGATACCAGAATCAGTTTCTGCAAGCATACAGGGGCTGGCTTTTTTTTCCAGCAGACATCTTGGAGAAGGGGAGGAGGGGAGAGTTGGAGAGATCCTTCAACCAAGAATGTAGCTTCCAAGAATGACTTACAGATGTCAGAGTAATGTTCTAGGATCTTCCTATTAGTCCAAAGCTATTATTTGCAACATATGCAGAATAAAAGCCCCTTGCATAAGACCGTAAACAAACTTCTCAACTAGAATTCACTGTGGCTCAGCCAGCTTCAGCCCTGGGGGCAGGGAGGGGCAAAGGGGGGTAAAGGGGGTCTGATTCTGTAGTATTACACTCTGGTTTTCTTATGATTTTACTGTTACATTAAAGCTGGGATGTCTCTATTATTCAGGTTCAAATCACCACCACAGAACTACTGGAAATGACAATGATAAGGCAAGTAAAACCACACCCAGAATTATGAGAGATACTTGAATTCAGACATGCAGCAGTAATGAGAAAATATGGGAGTTTATGTTTAGAATGTATGAAATTGGCTGCCAAAAACAAGAATGAAAATGCATAAGAAACATCCACATTGGGCAGCTCATATCTATTGAGGAGGTATGATATTTAAGTGCATCCAGCTTTCACAGTAAATAGCATTATATGTCATTAATCAAATTTCAGCAGTAAATGGTAAGATGCTGAACACCTCATTTACTGTGAAGCACTTTCAAGGTTTCCATTTTCATCTTCATGCTGGTTCTTAATTATCAGATGAAACTCTTACCAGTGTAAAGCAGGGGCACATAGAAGGAGATGTGTTTCCTTTACCTTAATTGTATTTTTTTACCTCTCAGTTTGAATGCTTTTCTGTGTTTTTTGCACTTTTTTGGACCAAATTAATCTTGTTGCAACCTGCTGTAATTTAGGGCAAGAAAGATGTTGTAGCAGCAGGAGTCTTATCAACATACGTGACAGGTAACTCTGTTCTTTCTGCTCCTGTTAATTCACAGGACCCAAGGATGTGAGGCAGGGAAAGCCCCTTGCATGAGTGGATACAATGGGAACTGAAGATGCCTTGGAATCAGCAGCACTGGCCTTTCTGTGTTCAGAGATGTCAGACAAGTAACAGTATCATTTTACTGAGAGGCAAAGCATTTTGCCCAACTGTTATTACAGTTACTCTGTAATAACAAGAAGCAGCAATGCAGAAAGTGAAATGTTTCTAGCACCAAGGTTAAGCATTTTAGGACAAGTCCAACAGCTCTTGTTGGAAACTTTGCCAACTTGAGGACTGGCACTTGACAACACTTTTAATCATAAGAGAACAATGAAACAATTGAAAACTATTTCAAAGTAATGGAAAAGTATGCTGCATGTTCAAAATTTTACAGAGTATCTCTTTCAAAAGAGCTTCAGCAACATCATTCAATTTAGGTTTCCCATGAGCCACAAAAAAAAGAGAAAGCATTGAACAGGCCTTTATTCATATTTCATGAACTATTAGAATTATTTATGTTCCTACATAATTCTGCTGAAAACTGCAGCTGACTGAGCACCACCTGAGAAACTTCCATGTTCTCTGTAAAATCATACAGACAAGACAAGATTTCTTCATGTGGTAAAATCTGCTGAAGTGCTCAGACCCTCACTAGAGGGCAATAATGCCAGAAAGGAGCAGACTTTGTGAAGAAACACCAGTCTGAGGTTTGTCTCAGTGTTTCATTTTTCCTGGTAGCACAGCTCATGAGCAGGCACTTATCCTGCAAGAATTCCTCAGCTCCAGCTTCTCTAAGTTGTCATAAACCTCCTATTTACAAACTGCTGCAGCTGTAATGAAGCTTATTGCCATCTCTATTCATCGCATCCATCAACATGTAACACTTCTCAGAATCTAACATTAATGCATGTAGGACAGTGTGTTCTCAAAATAGCTCAAGTATCCTGTAAGACTCCACTTCAGCTCCTCTATCTATTCAACTGATTATAAACTCGTTCACAATTATTACTGTATGTACTGTATGTAATTATGTACTGACACTTGAAAATTAGTGAGATGCAATATGAAATGCTAGATCAGATTTTTCTTGTTCATGTTTTCCTAGATCATCATTTGTAATGAATAGAAATAGATGGGACAAAATAGAACTCTCAGTTCCTGTTAACAATACAAATACTTCCGTTAAAAATCAGTAATTGCATAAATATAATACATATGGATCTATACATGTATAACATTTGTTCTTCATTCTAAGCAGTGCAATGTCTCAGTTACATTAGGATTACAGAAAGGAAGAGGACTTGCCATGCTACAGCTGTAACTGCTGCCTCTGCTCTGTAGCAGCAATAAAGAAAAATGCAAATATTAAAAAATGATTCTATCTGCTTTTCAGCAACTTGCAAATTCTGCTGCAACTGTAATTCAACAAAATGTGCTTTTAAAAAGAGCAGTAAATGATTTATTATTCTACTAGAAACCTACCTGCACTGTCAGCCGAAGATTTTAGCTCGATCAAGACTGATACTTTTATCTCTGATTAATTTTTTTATTCAAGATATCATTCTAAAATATATAGTTGTATATTCCTAAATTGAACTTTGTTTCAGTAGTTCTCCTATAAGAGAATACTATATATATTCTAATATATTATATAGTCCTGTAAGTATAGCAGGACCTAAACTAATGTAAGATGTTTGGTTTAATAAAGCAAGTTTTACCATGTTAAATCTACCCAGGAGTTGTTTCTTCTTTAGTGAATAGAAAGATACAGTTCATAATTACTCAGTTTTAATTCTTGATGAGTGAAGTCAAGAGCTATGGTGCCTCATGAGAGCTGTAACAAATCCTAGGTTTGATCCAGCTCTTATTACCTTTAACAGCAGCTGAAGTGGGTTCCTTTTTTCCCTTGATATCTCCACTGTACTGCACGCAAACAGTTCCTTTCCGTTTCTGTTCTTTTATCCTTTCACACATAATGTGTTTGTTTATAATGAAGTAAAATAAAGAATATTTCCTGCTTAATATAGGGATTTTTCTCAGTCACTTTTTGATATTATTCTTTTGCATACTTTTTAATAATTTTAAGTTGATTAATTGGATTAATCAAATACCTGAATAAATACAGAGCACTTCCACCTTCCACTGAATTACAGCAGTTTAAATCTACTTTAGGACTAAACCCTCAAGATGGAACATTCTTTTAGAATATATTTCCATAGGGTTATTCCATACAAGATGCAGAAATTCATGCTTGTCATGAGGGGAAACCAGAGCAGCCATGAGGAGAGTGGGTGCAGCAGCTGTGAAGGGAGATCACGAGAAGAGAGCAGGGGAGGCCATGAGAGGAAGTCGTGAGGGGACAGCAGGGACAGCCATGAGGGCAAGTTGTGAAGGGACAGGAGGAGTGGCCATGAGAGGTAAGGGGAGATCGTGAGGGGACAGGAAGGGCAGCCATGAGATGTGAGGGACGATCATGAGGGGAGTGTTGGGGTGGCTGTGAGGGGAGATCGTGAGGTGAGATCAGGGGCAGCCATGGGCTGTGAGGGGGGGCCATGAGGGGTAGGGCTGGCAGCTATATACTGTGGGCCACTATGAAGGGGCAGATGAAGGGTGGCTGTGACTGGACATCATGAGGGGGGATGAGTTTGTCCTTTGTGACATGGTTTAGTGGTGGGCTTGACAGTCCTGGGGTAACGGTTGGACTCAGTGATCTTAACGGTTTTTTCCAACCTAAGCGGTTCTGTGATTCTAATATGGATGTAATTTTATCTGCCACTCATATACCACAAGAACCTGCACAAATAACTGAAAATATACAAAGTACCTGGATGAAATATCTTCTTCCAGAATGGACATTGTACACCTTGTATTCACAGTGAAAAGTACACAAGGTACAGTGGGATTTGCCTCCTGCAGGCAGCAAGTTTTACTGAGAAAGTGCTGAAGGGTCACACTGTTAATGAGTCACATCATTAGAATATTCCAGCGTTGGATAGATACAACAGTGGATTTATGTTTGCAGGAATCACCTGGAAAAGGTATAGGAAAGATGAAAATAAGTTGCACAGTTTTTGTTACTCAGAGGCAGAAAAGCTGTCCAGAACAATTTGCTTTTAATGGCTCTTTTAGCTCAAAAGAGGCCCTGAAGTGAAGAATAAACAAACTGTCACAGGAACAGAGAGGAAGTCTCTTAAGATCAGGGTTAAGGTTCATTGGTACAATTGCTCTAAGGCAAAACATTACTGCATCTTGGATTAATCTTGGCATGTAGATAAATAGGAAGGTACAGCAGTAATGCACATATAGTGACTTTTTTGTAATCCTTGCACATGCAATACAGCCAAAAGCGTAACACAAAATGCAGTGTCCTGTAAAAATGAAAGAGAATTCTACATAGGTTGAAACAGGGGTTTAGAAATTCAGAAAACTGGATGATAATAAACCAAAATAAAAACACTTTGCTGTTGCAGTCTTGCGCAAACTGTGTGACCGTTGTTTAAGCTAACCAGAGACTCCAGCCAGCCATCTATCTCAAAGAAATACAGTTTTCCCAGATACAACTTGCCTGCAGCTTCTTTTCCATCATCTAAGAAAAAAAGCTCTACCAAACCCCTCTTCCCTTCTCTCTGCTCAGTATTCACTGTCCATGATTACCAGAGTCCATTATTTACCCCCATGTCTCTCACCCCCAGCAACATCCCTGCCTGTCCCAGAGCTGAGTCAGTTATCAGCACACAGGCTGTGACCTCAACCCGAGTAGTCTGTTCACCTTTGCCACCTTCAGAGCTGCACCTCTATCAACTGCTCAGCTTCAGGTGGCGGCCAAGGACAGTCCAAACTGCAAGAGTGGTACTCAGCAAGGATGTCTGGTCTTCTCTTGTGTGAGGTTCCTCATTCCCTCTCTGTGGACTGTAGCTAACGCAACATCTCACCCCTCAGAGAAGTAACATACAGCCATCCTGATAAGGTGATAAACATCTGTGACTAGTGAAGGACTGTCACTATTGCAGGAGCAGAGCTGTATAAAGCTGTAGGTCCACACTGCTTATCCTTCCTTGTTTATTTGCACAACACAGCTGAAGTAGAGGATGAAGGGGGAAAAACATTCTTCCAATAGCAAGCATCTGCATCCCAGTGCAGCACTGCATTATCATTTGTCCTCCCTAGTAAACAGCTCTGGCCAGCATTATTTATTAGAGCAAGAGCAGTAACAGTCCATCAGACTCTTGGATAGGGCAGACACCCGAGGACTGCAGTGGCCACTTACTAAGCCTCTCCATTTGCTGATACAGCGCTTCCTTCACAGGCTCCTTGGCACAGAGAGGTGGAATATTCCCACTGGCCTCAAATATTACTTCTTTTTTTCCATTATGGTATTTTAGCAACTGTTGCACTCTCCAGGACTTCTCTGGCCTAAAACAAAGTTAGAACCAGCACTGACAATAGAGGCTCTCCCAGGCCAATTTCTAACATGATCAAACTGTTCTTAACATAAAGTGCCTGTAGACACTAATAGCAAGAGCTGCCGCTGACATGCACGGAAGGAGGAGGGGTTAGCAACCGAAGAAAGTCAAGCAGGCCTTAGATGAGTTTTCCACAGAAGTGGATGCACGAATGCACAGGTAGAAACAGCAGAGCAGGCTCCCTGCAGAAGGACAGGCTTAGGTGCAGGAGGACCTCATGCTTGTGAAATCACTCACCAGTTTGGAGCCAAGAACTTCGATATTGCAGCTGCATAGCAGCTTCTCTTCATAGAACCACTGCTCTGAAGCATCAGCATCCATATGCTCAGCTTCAAGCCACTTCATACAAGCAGCTACAGGAGCTGCTAAGTCTGGGAATGCCTAAGAATTGGAAGACTTCTTCAGATTGCCATTACCAATGAGTCTGAGCTTCAGTAATCTTCCTTGTGACTCACATAATCTCACTACAACTATTTGAGATGTTTTGAGCACATAAACATACAGATCGCTTCACACTGCACGCGGTTATTCTCTCTGCATATGAACAAGCAGCTAGTAGGTTTTAAATGGTTTGGTTATAATTCAGTAGTTAATGATTTGGTTTGCTTTTACAATACACTACTACATGGGTTCTGCATATGCAGAAGAGCCAAGGAACAGATTACTAAGCTTTAAAAAAGTCACAAAATGTCATAATTGCCTAAAAACCAAAGCCATATTAAGATTGTAAAACATACGGTCAGTTACCACTCAGGAAATCTCACTAAACCTATAATCCCATAAAGCCTGTGACAAATTAGCAGATGGTTGTATAGTAAAATCTAAGTAAAAATTGATTAAAATTGTTCAAACCATTGCAGCCCCCCTCAGAAATGTACATCCTATGTCATTTGAATTTTGGTATGTAGCTTGCCTCTTAATTCCCCACCTGCCTTGATCCAGACCCAGGAATGAAGGGACTCTCTCTGATTGCCCATATCAACTCCCTAAACAAGTAGATTCCTGGAAACACCTCACATAAAAATACCTCTGGGTCTACAAGTGCACGGTTCTCAGCTCAGTCTAACTAATGGCCCCGACCACACTGGTATCCAAACAGATTTTTGACACCCCCATCAACCTTCACTCAGTTCAACAAAATTACCCTCTTACATTGGCAGGCATTTACAGCCAGTTCTACCGTGCATAGTCCTCTGGCATTAAAGAAGTACCATTTGTTCAGCAATGAAAGCAGTGGGGAAGCCCCTTTTCCTCCCCCAAAACCCAGAAATGACACTTGGGAAACAGCAATGCAAATAGACTTCTGTTTTAAAGAATACAGGCAGCTGATCTTCTAAAGACACTGGAACCCTGCACCTTAACTTTACTGAATTTAATCTATTTGCATTTACGACTGCACATGGAACTAGGCCACAGTCCTCAAAAATAAGGAATAATGTTCCCTTGGAACTGATGTATCTGTTTTCTTTATTTACAGGTCCAAGTGAGAGCAGGTTTGCCACCCCCAAGATGCCAGTTCAAAAGACAACTAACCTCTGAAAATCATGGAACCACAGAACATAGAGTGCCACGCATGCCTCTCAGATGATGTTCTAGCAACACAGACAAGCTACAAATAGCCAGATAAATCTAAGACAAGGAGAAAGAAACAAAAATCCCAACAGAGCAGTACAGACCAAGCACACCCCCCTCCTCACATTGTCTCACAGTTCACTGGGGCAGATGCTCCCTCAAATGCTCCAGTAATTCTGTTCTGGCAGCGTAGAGGATGCCACAAATTGCTACCATCCCCTGTACCACTGTGGTTCCTTTGCTCTGGCTTATTAGCTTAATCTAGAAGTATGCTGACTTGGAACTAGAGTCTGATCCTGCAAGATCTTTCCTTAAAGCTTAATAGCTAACAGAATAACTGTTATTCTGTAACTGTCATTTGTTTCTTCAGTCACACATTATGTGTGAATTCAGTATGAATTCTCTCTTTACAAATGTCACAAAAGTATGCAAATGTCACACTGCTCATACGTTGAGGGTGAGATACATTGAATGTCTGACTAGTGATAGGATGCTTTCTCCTGTTCTGAACAAGCAATCTGATAATAAAAGTCAAGGCCAAAGCCACAGAACCACACTAACTTTAATTACCTTGAAACAAAAAGAATAAACTTTCAACAGCCCTGAGATGACATCTACTGGCAGGAGATTGCAACAGTGTAGGGCACAACCAGGAAGCAGAGATGCTTTGTTAAGGATCTCCAAGTCATCCCTGTAGATGATCTGGGACTGGACAGGATGAGAGCTCATAGAAGTCTATGCAATTCCTCTGTAAGGGTGGTAGTCTCTCACAGAGAGATCAGAAACATAACTGGGGGATGTAACTCCTCAATCATCACCTCAAGTTCTGCATGGCAAGAGGTTTTATTAATGTAAATAATTATGCTGAAATCAATTTTAGTCAGATCTGCTTTGGGTTAGCTTAGATCATGGAGTGTATGAACACATAATAGCTTGCAAATGTGTTCCAGCAGTTCACAAACTTCCTAGGTCTCAGCTGAAGCACAGTAATTAGTAACATGCATACCCTCCTGGAGAGCTGCAAGAGTCAATGCAGCTTGCACAAAGCCACAATTAAAGAGGCTATAAAATCCAAAGTATTCTGAAATAAACCATTAGTAAATTATAAAAAGATTGTTTTCTCAGAGACCTGAAATTGTAAAAAAACACTGCATTAACAAAATCAATTCACTATGCAGGTAAGACTGCAGATGCATCTTTCACACTCTCAGTTTTCCACATAGCATCATGAAGAGATTGGCAGGGTGGGGAGCTTCCAAAGATTTCAACACACATGAAACTGGACTCAAGTGCTCTGGAGTAATTTCCTCATGCTGAGGATTTGGTTCTGCTGGTTTCACACCCCAAGGCTGCTCACAGCAACCTGGGATAGTAGAAGGTGCCCCTGCCCTTGCAGGGCTGTTGCAAGCACTTCCCCTTTAAGGGTCCCTGCAACCCACACATTCGATGGTTCTACGTGCCTTGTGGCTGCATCCAATGACAACCAGGGACCACCACAGCTCATTCTGCTACAGTCCCTCGATTGGGCACGAGCTGAATGCTGAGCTAGTGAAGGGTGACATTGCTCTACACATGGCACCACTGTGGTAGGTAAGAAAGGCAGCAGGAAGCAGGAACAGGGCACCTCCCTGCCATGGATGCAGGGTTTGACTGGTGTTTCCAGTTGTTACCACTGACACCTGCCTGTACAGGTGTACCTGCCATGGGGCTCTGCCACAAGGTCTCAGCTGAGCAGAGTTACAGAGATACACACAACTGCAAAGTTACTGCCACAGGTTCCATTCAAACTGCTCTAAATTACATGATTTAACGTCTTTTGGGTAACAGAAATTAGATCCCTAATATATAACTAAATTACATGATTTAACATCTTTTACATAATGGAAATGAGATTCAAAATTCAAGAGTAAATTACATGTCTTTTACATGACAGAAATTAGATCCCCAAATTATGTCTAACTTAAATGACTTAACGTCTTTTAAATATCAGTAGATCTCCAGGTTATGGCTCAATACATGGATTTTACCATGTACTCTTGCTTTAGGCATACCTTAGAGGACCTGTTGGTTCTGAGAACCGAAAAACCAGAAAAAAAAGCAGATCTCTGCAATGGATGCACGGTTTGACTGTAGTTTCCTGTTCCTATGGGCCACACATGCCTGTACAACTGTCATGGGGCTCTGCCATGGGGTTTCAGATGAGAAGTTCCAGACAACTGGGAAATTGCTGCCACAGATACTGTTCTTTCTGTTCTACATGGCAGAAATTAGATCCCAAATTTATGACTAAATTACATGATTTAACCTCTTTTACATAAGAAAAACTAGCTATCAAATTCAGTGTCTTATGAAACTTAGTCACAAATTAGGGATCTAATTTCTGTTATGTATAAGATGTTATATCATGTCATAAAGAATAGTTTGGCCAGAATGTGCAGCAGTAAATTCCAAGTGCAGCTCTGGTGGGCAGTGCTGCCACCATAGGACTGATTCCAGAGCACTTGGGTGCCACTTTGATGTGCGTGGAAAGCTTTGGATGCTCCCCACACTGCCAGTCTATTCATGCTGCTGGTGGGATTGTACAGGCTGTGTTCTGCAAGTAAGAACTTGTGGAGAAATGGGGAAAAGTGAGACAAGATTATTTATCAGTGAAGCTCCTGAGCCCTTTTGTTTTCCCTTCTCTACCGCCCTGTACTTTCTACACAGAATCATGGATGCAGAGCACTATCCTAGACAGCAGCATGACGTTAATGGATGTATTAAAACATAGACCTTTCTGCAAGGATTGCACCTGCAAAATCTCTGGGTTTTAGCTGCAGAGCTCACAAGCAGCAAGCACCCCATAACTGCTATACAAGTTTAAGGCTGGCAACCCTGAGCCATGCTCTGCTCCCTCAACAAGTTTAACCTAACTCGAAGTGTAAACATCTCCCTGCACTTGGATGTCTGTTGGCTGAGTCTTAGTATCTTTAAGCTTCAGCAGCTTTAGAACGTAGGCATGAATAAGGGAGTTTCAGATCTGCCCCCTCTCACCTTTGCTGTGGGAAGTACGTGGATATATAAGCAGGAAGGAATGTGCAATAGGGCAGTGGAAGAAAGTATTTAAATAATGAAATAACTTGTATTAAAGTGACTTAGAGGGACAGGGATGGCAAGGACTTACAGACCTCTCTGGTACTGCTGGCTTGTTTCAATCTGTTGGAGTAGGATTCTGTAGACTCTTTATTTTACAAGGTAGCCCTATGTTACTGCAACCCTTCATTTACTCTGAACATTACTAACTTTATTTTGTAGCCCGACGATGACATTGTGATTATGGCCCAAGAACTAGAAAAAATGTTATTGCAGAGTATAGCCAAAACACCACTAGAAGAGGCAACATTTCCAACAAAGGAAATGATAAAGGAAAAAACACAGAAAGTAAGATCTGCAGTCTATGTCAAGTTGTTAACATATTAAACAAGCAAAAGCAGGAAAAAAAGAAGCAGGGAATCCTCCACAGCTTGACACAACTCAATCCGGGATCAGTCAGGATGTTCTCTATCTTCCCAGAACATATCAGACAAGTAAACACACTGCTGTAAGCCTTTAACAGATGCAGTGCAGCCATAAAGTCTTTCATAGGTAGTAGCTAAACTTCCTATTTTCTACTAATGTAGTGTGTTTAAGGAGTAAACCTCAGGATTAACAACCCCACTGGTAGTGCAACAGCACAGCTTCAGAGGCAAACTCCTGATGAAATGTAGAGCTCTTGCTCCAGAAAAGAGAAATTCAGTCAAAACATCTCAAACTTATGAGGAAATCACTCAGTAAGTGCTTGATGTGGCCCACAGAAGCCTCATTCCAAGGGGGTGGGTGATTAGCTGCAACTTATTACTTATCACTGACTTCCTATGTCTTTCTAGTTGCTCTTACAATATGCTTCACTTTCACAAAGTGGGTGTTGATTCTTGTCAGGGTTTAGCTGCCCTTCACAATTTCCCTTGAAGCTTCAGGTTTCAATATATTTTGCTTTCTGAAATGGACAGAAACTACCTCTTCAGTCTATAAAACCCTGTCCTGCAAGGAAGAAGGAAAAACAATTCACTCTTTCCCTTTTGCATTCCCTATCCAAGGCAGCAAGTCACATGCATTATGAAGCTAAGGTCTGTGCAACACCTCCCCCAGTTCAAGGCAATCACTACACAACCTTGCACAAAGAAAAGCTGCCTCAGATCTGAAGTAACAGAGCTGCCTTTCACCCTGGGCCCTAAGCTGGACTGGAGAAACTGGCCTCACAACAGTAAAAGCCAACTGCTCTGTTAAGGCCTAAAGAGCTTCTGTGGGTTTCTCATATTCTACCCACTCCATCACTTGGGATCTAGGAGCAGTTCATGCTCTAAAGCACAGTGCTGATGTAAGAACTTGCCCTCACTACCACAACATGAATGAAATCTAATTCTTCCCTGGTGTTTAGAGAAGCTGGAGCTGCAACCACTGCTCAGAGCTTCTGCATCTTTAATCCTACAGCTATAAGATAAGAACCCACATGTTTAGCACTTCAGAACATAGTTTGAAATCTAATTTCTGTTTCTGGTATCCAACTGAACTCCACAGGCTGCCAGTGCTGAATGGTTTAGAACAGGAAAGAAACAATAGGCCTATACAAGTCGAAGAAACTACAAACATGGCCGGTGAGGGAACTGCTGATTCAGTATTTATGGGTCAAGAACCCAGTGTGTATTGTCATGGTAAAAACTGTAACTGATATCAGGGGTGCAAAGTTAAAAATGTCTGTGAACCTGCCTTAAAGAGATAAAATGCAGAAAGAAGCCTTGGAGGTCAATCTGTTTGCAGAGTAATGGAGGGGGTGCAGTTTCCCCTTGTCCACAAAAAAAAAAAAAAAAATAAAAAAAAAATAGCAAAGGCAGCAAATCAGAAAGAAAAAGCTGTTAAATAGATGCTCAGCTCTTTTTCTGCATCTGGAATGGACACATCTCCCTTGTGTCCAGGGGAACTGGTGTTCAAGTAACTTCACGGTCTTGAAGTTTCCATTGGAACAACAGGCTTTGAGACAGCTTTTTATGCAAAATACACTATTCACTGAGATAAATCCACCCTGAAGGTATAAAATAATCAGACAGCAGGGAGGTGGCAAAAGATGACAATTCTGCAGCACCTATGGCTTGGGAGAGGGGAGGCCTGGCTATCGATAAAGACCCCAGCATGGAGATCTGGCAGCAAGCACAGGAACAGGCTCTTAACAGCCAGAAAACTTGGCAGGAGGAACTGGAACTGCTTGAATTGTGTCTTGAAATGGCATAGCTTTAACCTACTTTAAGACTAGAAACAGTGTGGTTTGGCTCCTCCTTGGTTATTTCAATCATTCAGCCAGCTTGCCACTGGTAAATCTCCCTCCTGTGTAACAGTCTCAAGTCCACTGTAAATGAAGAGTGGACAATGAAGTGACAGAAGATGAGGATTTATATGGCAAAAAAAAAGACCTAACAAGGCTGATCCCACTCTTGTATACAAACACCTCTCTGCTGCAGCTTGATCTAAATTCTCTCTTTTACTGCTGCAGCTGAAAAACCTAAGACCAGCACCAGCAGCACCGGTACCAGCACAGCTGCTTCTAGGTCTTCAGACAGAAGCAACTCTGAATTGGGTCAGTAGAC